TTCTTTAATGAACTTATCATTTTGAATAGTTTTTTCTGTTAAGTTTCTGGACATTATAGTTTGAACTCTTTCATGTGTGGTCCTATTGTTTAATTTCTAATTTTTTTGTTTTCTAAAATGCATTTGCCTGCGGGCGCCAACATCCCCATTCCAAGTTTTTTTTTTAGTTATTTAACTCTAGTTAAATATTTTGTTTAGACTTGAACGTTGATAACCTGCATTGGCCCTATGAATCATCTTTCTTTAATGATCTTATCATTTTGAATAGTTTTTTCTGTTAAGTCTTCTGGACATTACTGGACTAACTCTAGTTAAATATTTTGTTTAGACTCTAACATTTATAACCTGCATTGGCCCTATGAATTATCTTTCTTTAATGAACTTATCATTTTGAATAGCGTTAGATCTGAGTGGAACGATGAATCTATTGATTTTACAATGATGTGTGTTTTTTTTTAATTTTTTTTTTTTTTTGTGTCTGTGTACACGATAAGTAGTCGAAATTATGCTTCGATTTTCGACTTCAGTATCTTGTTTGATTGGAAAGTGAATATCGTTGGTGCTTTGGGGAGGTCAAAATTTAAAATACCCAGTACTTTTCAAAAGCGCCAAGAAAACAAAAGAAAAATTAAGGAAAAAACGGGAATTTTTACGCAAAATCGATTTTTCAGAAAATTGAATTTGGTTTTGGTGTAATGTTAAAACAAATGACCGTAGATACATGAAGTTTTCACTGGTTGTTTATATTTGCATCTATACACGATAACATTTTCAAAATATTTTGAACTGTTTATTGACATTTTCATTTTTCATTTTTTTTTTAGTTTTTTTTTAGAAATATCAATAAAATTTTATTTGTTGGTTAAAAAAACTTGGAAATTCAATAAAAGGCACCTAGTATATTGTTTCAAGGCAGATGAAAAATATTAAAAATCGTTGTTACAGTTTTTTTTTATAACATTTAAAGTTCAAAAATTGACAAAATATGGAAAAATCACGAAAATTAGCAAATTATTTTGAGTTTAAAATTCGTAAAAATTTTTCTTTTAAAACTAAGATTTGAAAATGTAATACAAGGTTACTCATAAGTTTTTCTACTTTTATCAATAAAAAAATCTCTACCGGACAGTCAAATTAATTTTTATGAGCGTTTGAAATTCAAATTTTTACAACATTGGATGTTTCACTCGATTCTCATGTAGCGATTTCCTTATTTTGATGTTATTCATAAACGAATAACTATAGATACATGAAAAATTCACTGAATGCTTATATTAGAATTTCCTATACACCATACGATTTCGAAAATATTTTGACTCTTTTGAGCTGTTTACTGACATTTACAGCTTTCAATTTTTTTTTTAGTTTTTTTTTCTATGAATATCAATAAAGTTTTATCTGTTGTGCCAAAAAGTGTAAAAATGTAATACAAGCTCCTGATATATTGTTACAATATCAGTTGAAAAATATTAAAAATACATAGGCACACTTTTTTTTATAAGCATTTAAACATCGAATTTTGACAGAATTTTTCAAAATCTCGAAAATTATTAATCATCGTAATTAATAAATAATAAAATGTTCAGTTTTTATAGCTAAGGATTGTAAATTAAAAACAAGATTCCACATAAGTAGTTAATTCTCTTAAAGAAAAATCTAAAAAATATACAATCACAGTTTATTTTTATAGTCATTATATGTTAAAATTTTAACGAAATTACATATTAAAAAACCTAGCTATTTTGTTGTGATTATATAATATTATTCGTGGGTACCTACTTGAAACTTCTAAAGTGTACTATTATATATCAGGGTTTGTTATTTTTTTTTTTTTTTTTTTTTTTTTTTTTTATTTAAATTAAGCCTCGGCATCAATGGCCATTGGCAACAATGAGTTTAATTCTAAATTATTTACATATTGTAATTTACATATCAAATACTATTTATAAGGTTGGACTTATTAATAAAGATTATTATTTGTCTTATGTTGTCTGGGTGGAGGGCTTCTGACAGAATGCTTGAGATGCCTGCTTCCCGTCTCTCAGTTTCGTATGCAAGACATTCGGTTATGATATGTTTTATTGAGAGAGGGGTACCGCAGCTGGCACATAGGGGTGGATCTTCCTTCTTCATCAGATACTGGTGTGTTAGTGATGTATGTCCTATACGGATTCTGTTGACTGAGGTTTCCATTTTCCTTGTGAAGTCTGGTGGAGAAGGCCATGTGTGGATGGTATTTTTAATTTCGTTTAATTTGGATGTACCTTGTTTCCATGCCCGTAGCCATATGTTGTTATTTATTATACTAGTTATGAGTTTGGCGTCGTGTAGGGTGAAATGATTAAGTCTAATGGCATCCGTTGATGTAATTGCTTGGCGTGCTTTTTGGTCAGCTCTTTCATTTCCCTGAATTTGATTGTGACTGGGTATCCATAATAAGGTAATTGAGTAGCCGGTGTGTGTAAGGTTATAGATCTGGTTCTGGATTTTCCTGGAGATCTCGTTTGGATTGTAGATATTTTCAATACTCCTCAAGGTACTAAGTGAGTCACTGAGGATTACTGCTTTGTGTATGTGATTAGTTTTAATTAGGTCTAAGGCAAATGAAACTGCAGTTGCTTCAGCTGTGTATATTGAGCAAAAGTTGGGGAGTCTCAGCATAGATACGTGGTCCTGGATTACTACAGCTGCTCCAACACCGTTTTCCGTTTTGGAACCATCCGTATAAATTTCAGTAAAATCGTGGAACCCGGAGATGATTGAACGTAGATGTTGTTTGTAAATTATGGGGGCGGTGTCGTTCTTCGAATATTTACTTAGTTCTCTGTTGATTGGGATATTTAATAGCCAAGGGGCCGTCTGTATGGTTTCGTTCTTGATAACGTCCAGGTGGGAGAATGGTATGTCTTTAAGGGTGTCATTGATTTGATTCATTACCTTGAGGTTATTTTGAGTGCGTCTGGTTGCTAGTAATATGGAGCTGTGGACTCTCCTGATGTCGAGTGGGGCTACTCCAGCTGTATTGAGCACGCTGGGAATCGGGCTGGAGCGGAAGGCTCCGGTAACGAGTCTTAACCCTGTGTTGTGTATGGTATCAAACATTTTGAGTGCTGTTGCCTTAGCTTTTATGAACAGGAATGAGTTATATTCGAGTTTGGATAGGATGAGTGCTTTATAAATTTGTAATAGACTAGAGGAGTGACTTCCCCATGACCTGTGGGCGAGGCATTTTAGCGTATTCATTCTTAGAAGTGAGTCCTTTCGGATGGTCTTGAGATGTGGTATCCACGTGTTTCTTGAATCAAAGAGTATGCCTAATATTTTGATGGAGTTTTTAATTGGTATGGGAATATTGTTCATATATATGGTGGTGTTAACAACATTTCTTTTATTAGTGAAGAAAGTACATTGTGATTTTTCGACTGAAAAAGAGAAACCCGAGACAAGAGACCAGTCTTGTAGTGCAGTTATTGCATTCTGCAGGTAATTTATAGTTCTATTTGTATTGATGCCTCTGCAGAATATGTTGAAGTCATCGGCAAATAGTGTGCACATAACCGGGGGTTGTATAACTAGTGGTATATCATTAATCGCTAATAAGAATAGCGATACCGATAGTGTGGATCCTTGTGGTACGCCGTTTTTTTGAGAATATATTTTCGATAGTTTTCCGTTGCACTTCACCTGGAAGGTTCTGTCGGTAAGGAAGTTCTGTATAAAGTTGAATAAATTACCTTTACAGATAATGTTTGACAATATTTTAACAATACGGGGGCGCCAGGTAGTATCATACGCTTTTGATATGTCAAGAGCTATGAGGCCCATCATTTGTTTAGCTTCGAGTGTTGAATGTATTTCCTCTTGAATGTCATGTAATGAGTTTGTGGTACTTCTATGTCTTC